GTAGTATGAAGAAGAAGAAGAGTTGGTTTTTATACCCCGATTTTCACTACCCGACGGAGTCTCAGGGCTCATTCAGACGGGCCGTTTGAGCTGGTATACATGCCGGTTAGAAAAGAACTACTTACACGCGATCACACAGCCAAAATGTGTTCCCTCTAAGCTGAGTTATAGTGAGCTAGCTCACAGTTTTGTAGCCTCTGGCTCACACATTTTTGTCTCCGCTCAGGAAGGATGGCTCCAGAGCAAACTAATTCATGCAGTAGCCAAATGGCTCGCTCACACCTTTAATGCCAGGAGCTCACAAAGTAGAATTTTTGCTCATGAGACTCCACAGCTTAGAGGGAACATTGCACCTGCCTCCCGTCCCTAGCTGTTGCCAACCGGCTCAAACACCCTTTAAACCGGAGTATTCTGCTACCAGGTCCCCAAATGATGTTTTCCTGGTGCTCCGGTTCTAGCCGCATTTTCCTGCTGTGTGATCGTGCCTCCACCGGTGTAGAGCCACTTCCGCTCGGAAGCCCGAGCCTTCCGCTTTTCGTCCGCCATTTTTTTTTTTGCATCAATATGCACTTGGGCGAAGCTTCACCCCGGCATTAATAAAACAAATTAGAAAACGGTGCCTAGTTTTAGGCTTCAGACGAGTCCGGGACCTCATGGAGGCCAGTTTCGCTGTAAAAGTTTCAAGGGAAGTCTTCACTTCAGGGCATTCTTTTTGGGATAATTTGTTCTGCGCATGCGCAAACTGTGAAAAAAAAATTAAAAACCCGCCGCCGCACGCTGCTGTGTGGACACCCGGGAGCAATGTGCTGCGCTGCGAGAGACAGTAATGTGACCGGGCTTGTCCCAGATCAAATACAATCCAATTGGAACTGGAGCAGTTTAAACCGCTCCGGCACGCCCGTCTGACTGCACCCTCAGAGTGGCTTACAATCGCCTTCCCTTCCTCTCCCTACAACAGACACCCTGTGTGGTAAGTGGGGCTGAGAGAGCTCTGAGAGAACTGTGAGTGACAGAAGAAGGGGAAGAAGGAGAAGGAGAAGAAGAGTTGGATTTATACCCCACCCTTCCCTTGGAGTCTCAGAGCGGCTTACAATCTCCTTCCCCTTCCCCTCCCACAACAGATACCCTGTGAGGTAAGCGGGGCTGAGAGAGCTCTTTCTAGAACAGCTCTTGAGAGAACAGCTCTGAGAGAACTGTGGCTTGCCCAATGTCACCCAGCTGGCTGCATGTGGAGGACTGGGGAATCAAACCCGGTTCTCCAGATTAGAGTCTGCCACTCTTTACTACTATACTACACCACGCTGGCTCTCTGTGGTACAGTGGTTAGCATTATGGCCTCCTGTGTCCCTTCGCTGCCCCTGCAGATCGGCCTGGCTATTCCTCTCTACTGGGCTGCTGCTTCCCTGAGGCCTGCACCTTTCTCCCCCAGGAACAGCTTGCCACTGACTGTGACTGGACCTTGAAACTCGGCTTGTGTGAGACACTCCGTCCTCAGCCTCTGCCAAATCCTGGTGTCCCACAATGCACCTCTTCACTCCTACCTGGACTCTTCCCAGGCTACTGGATCTCCCCGCTCAACCCTCAGGAACAGCAATGATGGCAAACCTGGAAGGAATCCCTCTTTAGATCCCCTTTCAGGGTTGGAGTCTTCTCCACTGATTGACCAGGAAAGGCAGAGCTGCTCGGGCTAGCCAACAGGCCCACGGTCAGGGCCGGCTCACCTGCTAGGCAAACTAGGTATTCGCCTAGAGCTCCGGGCCCTGGATGGGGCGCCGAACTGCGTGGGGGAGGTGCCAAAAGCCTGCACGCCATTGCTGCTCTGCTCCTCTGGCCACTGGCGCTGCTGCCGGCGCTGGTGCTGCTGGGTGAGCTGGCAGAGGGCATGGTGGCTGAGGAGGTCCTGGGCGAGGCAGAGTGGAGGGCCAAGTACGGACGGGGCACCGAGGCGGGGAACCAGCGTGCCAAAGTTGCCTCAGCCGCTGCCTGCCCGGGGGCAGTGGGTGCCGAGAAGCCATCGATGTTGGTCCAGGTCCCATGACATGATGGATAGCTCCCCAATGGCTGAACGGTGAAAGTCTTGGGCCGGGCCCAGCTCTGAGGCAACTCTGAGAGCCGGTTTGGTGTAGTGGTGAAGAGCGCAGACTCTAATCTGGGAGAGCCGGGTTTGATTCCCTGCTCCTCCACTTGCAGCTGCTGGAGTGACCTTGGGTCAGCCAGAAGTTCTCTCAGAGCTGTCCTCTCAGGAGCAGTTCTGGAAAGAGCTCTCTCAGCCCCACCTACCTCACAGGGTGTCTGTTGTGGGGAGGGGAAGGAGATTGTAAACTGCTGCTGCTCCTCCTCCTCCTCCTCCTCCTCCTTGCCCTCCTCCTCCTCCTCCTCTTCTTCTTCCTCTTCCTCTTTTCTCTGCCAGGCAGCTTCCCAGCCTGACTTTCCTGCTTTTCTGCTCCTGCACTACTGCTCCTGAACCCCTGGCATAACAGCTGTTGCACCTGTAGGGTTGGATCCAGAGCAAGCAGAACAAATGCAGGGAAAATACCAGGGGGGCCGCTTGCTTGCTTATTGCATCCCGCGCTTGCATTTCTGCTTCTGCCAGGGATCTCAGGGCACAGTAATACGGGGGGGGGGGGGGAGCTCAAGGCATCACACAAGAGCCCGTACAAGCAGAACTGCGCCCAGTTGGCTGATGTTTCCACTCGCCCATCGCTGGATCCAAAGCCTACTTTGAACCAGGCCCGCAGAACTGTGCTCAGTCCGTCGACGTTTCCGCTTGTGAATGGCTGGATCCAAGCCGTAGTTTCAAACAAGACCACGATCCACCTAGCTTAGGGAGGTCTGATTGGCGGAGTCTCAAGGAGAGAGATCTTTCCCAGCCCTGTCGCCAAGATGCCTTTAATTGGGAGGGGGCCAGGACTAACGCTCCCCCTAAGCTGTGGAGTCTTGTGAGCAAATATTCTACTGTGTGAGCTGCTGGCATCAAAGTTGTGGGCGAGCGATTTGGCTCCTGCATAAATCAGTTGGCTCTGGAGCCCTCCTTCCTGAGCCAACGCAGAAATCTGTGAGCTGGAGGCTAAAAAACCATGAGCTAGCTCACACTAACTCAGCTTAGAGGGAACACTGGCCAGGACCGAACCTGGGATTGTGTGCGTGCCACCCTCCCACTGAGCCACGGCCCACTCTTGACTGATCAGACCTTAGGTGTGCATCCAAAAAAAAAATTGTGCAAGAATTACTGAACGTGTTTTTATGCATAACGCTTGACGTGCCCTTGAAATGCTGCGGAACTTTACTTTTATGGAGCTTTATTTCTATATATGATTACGACAGCTAGAATAACATAGCAGGAATACTATATGCACAGAAATGGAAATGTCCAGCAATGCCCACAGTAGGAGAATGGTTGAAGAAGATGACGGACCTTGCAGCAACGGCTACATGTACCGTGCCGGTGAGGAAAAAGACAATGATTTCGTTTATTACAGACTGGAAACCCATTACGGACTTTTCGCAGGGAAAAGACAGTAATGATTTGGTGATTTGTGGATCAGATGGTTAAGATATTAAAAAAGATATACAAAAAAAGAGGAAGTCCTTTATGATATAGAGACAGCAAGGAAAACTTCATAATCAAACGTATCTTTCTTGTAGAGAAAAAGGGAAGCCTTCTTATTTTATGTATGTTTCCCCCCCTTTTCTCAATTAAAATTAAAATTTATACTTTAAAAGAAAGGAAGGAAGGGAGGGAGGGAGAGAGGGAAAGAAAGAAAGAAAGAAAGAAGAAAAGAAAGAAAGAAGGAAAGAAAGAAAAAAGGAAAGAAAGAAGGAAAGAAAGAAAGAAGGAAAGAAAGAAGTTGTAGAGAAAATGGGAAGCCTTCTTATTTTATGTATGTTTTTTTCTTTCTTTTCTCAATTAAAATTAAAATTTATGCTTTAAAAGAAAGGAAGGGAGGGAGGGAGGGAGAGAAAGAAAAAAGAAAGAAAGAAGGAAAGAAGGAAAGAAGGAAAGGAGGAAAGGAGGAAAGAAGGAAAATAGGAAAGAAAGAAGAAAAGAAAGAAGAAAAGACAGACAGACAGACAGACAGACAGACAGACAGACAGAAAGAAAGAAAGAAAGAAAGAAAGAAAGAAAGAAAGAAAGAAAGTGTTGTTGTTGGTAGTCAGCTACAAGGAACAGAAAACACATAGCCAGAGGGGATTGTGGCATTTTCGAGATATAAGCTAAGCACCTGTGTCAAGAACCTTGCCTTCGAAGAGAGGGTCGATGGGCTGTGGACTTTTCCGCCACTATAAGCCTGTTAGCATTTACTCAGTGCAGGCAGTCGGCTGAGGTTGAACCGAACAGCGCCGTCTGATCAAGTCAGGCTTTCGGAATTGCTCGGCAGACCCAGAGAAAGAAAGGGAGGGAGGGAGGGAGGGAAGGAAGGAAGGAAGGAAAGAGCAAGTGCGTTTCATATCATGTGTGGAAAACGGCTAGATAAATGCAATTCTTGTCCCCCTTCAAAATTCCTTTCCCCGCCTCCTCTCTGCTTAAGAAACCCGCTCATTCCCCGGGAGCTGTCCGTGGTGCTGATCTTCGATGCCTTCCTCTTGACATCTGGGAAGAGAACAGGGGGGGTTAGAGAAGCGAAAGACTGCCTGGGAGAAAGCCCTTTGGCACTTTGGCCGCGTGGGCTTCTTCACAGGGTCTTGGACTTGTGGAGTGACCCAGAGACCGAGCGGCTCAAGAGGGAGACGGAGCGGGTACCAGTTCAAGGGAATCTCCTATTCAAAAGAGGTAACTGGCTGTCGATTTTCCCATTGGGGGAGAAAAGAGGGGAGGAGATGTAAAAAGATAAGGCATGGTTGGCTGGCGTTGGATTAACTCCCTGTCGATTGTTCCCGCCAGCAGGTTATCACACGGTCTTTGGGGATACAAGTAGGAAGTTCGGGCACCCAGCGAGGGATCCCTGGAAGGGGGTGCCGTAGATGAAAACACCGGACCGGTACTTCCGCTCCAGGTCACCATGAAAGTGACGCTCCACATCGTCTCCTTGCTTGCCGCCCTCCTGGGCATCTTAAGCTTCACCTTCTTGGTGGTGGCCATCGGGACTGACTTCTGGTATGTCATCGATGCTTCTAAGCTGGAGAGGTCGGAGAACCACACGGAGAGGCTGAGCTCTCATACGGGTCTTTGGAGGACCTGCGGCTGTAAGTAACTTCCTGTTGCGGGGTTTGGTTGGGCCGCTGTGTATATGGGGAGGGGACGGGGACCCCAATCGATTTTACAACTTCTTGGCCAGCAGTCCTTTCAAGAGGAGCTTTTGTGGCACTGAGAAGGATGGATGGTCTTAACGACCGGGCTTCCAATAGGTCTCATCGCATGGTGCGTAAATGGTTTTGGTGTCAGAAGAACATAAGAGAAGCCATGCTGGATCAGGCCAATGGCCCATCCAGTCCAACCCTCTGTGACACACAGGGGCCAAAACCCAGGTGCCATCAGGAGGTCCAGCAGTGGGGCCAGAACTCCAGAAGCCCTCCCACTGTGACCCCCAAGCACCAAGACGACAGAGCATTACCGCCCCAGACAGAGCATTCCAGCTATACCTTGTGGCTAATAGCCAGTAATGGACCTCTGCTCCATATGTTTATCCAGCTCCTTCTTGAAGCTGTCTATGTATTCTCCACCATTTCCGGCGGCAGTAAATTCCACGTGTTCATGACTCTTTGGGTGAGGAAGGACTTCCTTATATCTGTTCTAAGCCTACGGCTCATTAGTTGTTTTTTAATAAACAGTTTTATTTTTTATACAAGACAATCAAACAAAAAACAAACAAATAGACATACATACATACAAAAATTTGGGGATTCCATTTACAACATTATTTGTCTGTTAAGTTACCTCATACATTGTCTTACTATATTTTTTATTTTTCCACCATATATTTTTGAATAAATCTTTGCTCGTAACCAAAAAATTATAGTTCATATCTTCTTCTGATTCAGTTGTATGCCCATGTTTTATTTATTATATTCTTCGATCCATTTATAAAACCTTGTCCAAGTATTCTCGAAGTCTCCTTCATCCTGTCCTCTCAAAATTAAAGTTAATTTGTCCAGTATTTTATTTATAATTTCTTCTTTTGAAGGTACCTCATTTTCTCTCCAATATTTGGCATATAATATTCTTGCAGCTGTCATTACATGTATAATAAGACAGAAATCTTTCTTTTCACAATTATCAGGTAATATATTCAATAAAAACAATTCTGGAATATAGGGTATAGTACATTTTAACATTTTTTTTGGTAATAATTCATGAACCCAAGACCAATATTTTTTAACTCTATCACAGGTCCACCACATATGATCCTAGTGCTCATTAGTTTCACGGAGTGCCCACGTCTTCTTTATTGTGAGAAAGGAAGAGAAGAACTTCTTTCTTTCCCTTCTCTTTCCCATACATAATTTTTGTGAACCTGTCACTCCTCAATTGTTCTTTCTCCAAGCTAAAGAGCCATAATTGTTGGAACAGAAGGAGAAAATGAGCCTCAAGACCTCAGGGAGAAGAAGTTTTAAGTATTCCCTCTGTGGTTTTTACACTGGCACATGGTCAGACTCTTTGCCTCACAAGCACATAGTTTCTCTTTCATACCCACAGCTTTTGGACAGCCAGTTTGGTGTAGTGGTTAGGAGTGCGGACTCTAATCTGGGAGAACCGGGTTTGATTCCCCACTCCTCCACATGCAGCTGCTGGTGTGACCTCGGGTCAGTCACAAGTTCTCTCAGAGCTGTTCTCTCAAGGGCAGTCCTCACAAGAGCTCTCTCAGCCCCACCTACCTCACAGGGTGTCCGTTGTGGGGAGGAGAAGGGAAAGGAGCTTGTGAGCCACTCTGAGACTCCTTTGGGTAGTGAAGGGTGGGGTATAAATCCAAACTCTTCTTCTTCTTCCCTAAATCTACTTGCGGGGAGGGAGGGCTAGAAGTCGAATAAAGTAAAGTATGTCCCAGTTCCACTGGTCATGTTTCTTCCGATACACACATTAAACCAGGTGTTCCCAGCCAGGTGAGAGCCTGTTTGGTGTAGTGGTTAGTAGCACAGACTCTAATCCGCGAGAACTGGTTCGATTCCCCACTCCTCCACATGCAGCTGCTGGTGTGACCTTGGGTCAGTCACAGTTCTCTCAGAGCTGTTCTCTCAAGGGCAGTCCTCAAAAGAGCTCTCTCAGCCCCACCTACCTCACAGGGTGTCTGTTGTGGGGAGGGGAAGGGAAGGGAAATTGTAAGCCGCTCTGAGACTCCTTTAAGTAATGAAGGGTGGGGTATAAATCCAATCTCTTCTTTTGGTCCAAGGACATTATGATACCCTCCAAGGCATGACTCACAGTTCATGGTGGCACAGAGCTCTCTTCATTCCCTAGGTCTCAGCCATGGGACATTGAAACCTGTGGTAGAGATTAATATGTCAAAAAGTCTGTTTTCCCTGCCAAGAACTTTACATCTAGATCTGCCCTTCTGCGACTAGGGTTGAAGGACTGCCCCATGGTGCATTTTTGGAAGATTTTGACATAACCTTGAAATTGTCAATACTCTTTTTTCATTTATTGCATTGAAGACTTCCTTGCCTCCAAGGAGGCATTTAATGGTGGAATTTCATTCCAATCCAATCCAATTACCTTTATTGGCATGTAAGAATTTCATTTTTCTAGGGTCATCTAGGCATAGAAGGGCATAAATTCTGCTTTTGGGATTGCCCTGTTAGCCTTACAACCAACTCTGAAAGGTGATAGTTTTGGCCTAGGCAATCTAGAAACTCCTCCAAACTAGAAGAAGAAGAAGAGATTGGATTTATACCCCGCCAGAGAGTTGCTTAAAAACTCCTTTCCCTTCCCCTCCCCACAACAGACACCTGTGAGGTAGGTGGGGCTGAGAGAGCTCTTTCAAGAACTGCTCTTTCAAGGCCAGCTCTTGTCAGAACTATGGCTTGCCCAAGGTCATCCAGAAGCTGCAAGTGGAGGAGTGGGGAATCAAACCCAGTTCTCCCAGATTAGAGTCTGCACACTTAACCAGGCCATTCCATTACTTGCCTTAGAGTGGCAGTCCCCAAACAGAGAAGCTTCAAGGGGAGATTACAACGTGAGATTGCTCAACTTGAGTTCATTCACAAGTTCAGAACTTCCCCTGCCCAGAACTGAATAGGGATACAGGATTCTTCTCACACCCCAGATGCTAATTTTCTACCCCCAAGCATTTCCCCTCTGCTCCAGTCAAGCTGATTACAATATGCATGACACCTCTGTATCCTTTACAAGCATTCTTTAAACACTGCTCTCCTGCTTCTGTCTGGAAGATAGAGACTCACAGATATCCATTTCTGCTCATATCTGAGGAAGGGACATTTGGCTCTTGAAATCTTATAACCTGGAAACCCTGTTGGTCTCTGAGGTGTGACTGGACTCAGACCTCTTGAGAGTTCTGGCACCTCTTTAAAAAAGAAAGAGAGAAAGAGAGAGAGAGGAAGGAAGGAAGGAAGGAAGGAAGGAAGGAAGGAAGGAAAGAAGGAACATTTGGCTCTTGAAATCTTATAACCTGGAAACCCTGTTGGTCTCTGAGGTGTGACTGGACTCAGACCTCTTGAGAGTTCTGGCACCTCTTTAAAAAAGAAAGAGAGAAAGAGAGAGAGAGGAAGGAAGGAAGGAAGGAAGGAAGGAAGGAAGGAAGGAAAGAAGGAAGGAAGGAAGGAAGGAAGGAAGGAAGGAAGGAAGGAAGAAAGGAAGGAAGAAAGGAAGGAAGAAAGAAAGATAGATCCTTGTGAGGAGGTTAATCTGGTTGGGTCAGAGGGGGCACATCAGAGTCCGCTGTACAGGGCACTTTGGGCTAACCAATAGTGCTCAGTGGAGAGGCAAGTCCTGGGTTCAAATCCGTATTTAGCCAAGAAGTTTCCTGTGGGGTCTTGAACCAGGAATTCTCAGCTGAAACCGCAACCACGCTGTTTGTTGAGGGCACTCCAGATGTGATTAGATAATCACACAGGTATTTTCTGGACCGGAACTGGAAGATGTTCTAATTCGACAGCTGTATGTTTTGTATCATGTATATGACTCTCATCTTAGGAGGCTTCATGAACATCCTTGCCTTGTGTCTATTAATCTAGCTCCTCAACTTTCATTTTTTTGGTCAACTTATTGGTTATTTCACTGTAACAAGAACATAAGAGAAGCCAATGTTGGATCAGGCCAATGGCCCATCCAGTCCAACACTCTGTCACACAGTGGCCAAAGATACCAGGTGCCCTCAGGAGGTCCATCAGAGGGGCTAGGACACTAGAAGCCCTCCCACTGTTGCCCCCCTCCAAGCACCAAGAAGACAGAGCATCACTTGCCCCAGCCTGAGAGTTCCTATCTATACCTTGTGGCTAACAGCCACTGATGGACCTCTGCTCCATATGCTTATCTAATTCCCTCTTGAAGCCGTCCATGCTTGTAGCCGCCGCCACCTCCTGTAGCAGTGAATTCCAAGTGTTAATCACTCTTTGGGTGAAGAAGGACTCCCTTTTATCTGTTCTAACCCGACTGCTCAGCAATTTCATGGAGTGCCCACAAGGAGTTCTTGTCTTGTGAGAAAGGGAGAAAAGGACTTCTTTCTTGACCAGCTCTGTCCCAGGCATAATCTTGTAAACCTTGATCATGTCAGTCTCTCAGCCGTCATTTCTCCAAGCTAAAGAGCCCCAAGCGCTTTCACCTTTCTTCATAGGGAAAATTTAAAATGTAACACCGTAACAGGTGTCTATCTGTATCTCAAATTGTTTGGCCTCTGAAGAAGGCCCTCAAGGGGTGGAAATACGTCAGGTCACTGGCATTGGCTCTCATGTTCTGGCCACTTGTATTTTGTAACAAGGCCTTCATTGGGTCCTTATATGTTTCTAACTCTCTTTCTAATATATACATGTATTTTGGTATATAATGCATTTACACTAGGTTTTTTATTATTGGCCCTTTATCAGGTTTCTTTCTTACCCTTGGAAAATCACGATCTACAAATGCCCCCAGCTCTCGATATGCAGAAATATTTTAAAGCCAGCTTCCTTTCCCCTCAAAATGGCCTTTTGCGTGTAATTTATAACTGGGAATATTAGCAATGAGTTGATTTCTGTCTCTGTGCAATCTCTGCTCGGCAAAGTGACCGCAAAAAGGCAGCTGCTGTATTAGGGCACGTTTGTTGATTGCTGAAATTAACTTTCTCCCTCTCTCTTTTAAGCTGTGCTGTTTGTCAAATGATATCTCGGCTACTGTGTGAGTGAGGAGTTGAGCAAGCCAATGGTTCATATACGGGAAATATTTGCACATTGCCGTCTGTATTGAAGTCACAAAACGACGGCTTGAAAACATATCAGGATCAAGATAAAACCCCAACAGTAGCACAGAGCTATTTAGCAACAGCAAATAACACCGTCTCTTTAGACGACCCCGTTGGTGGAATAACAACATCTTGTGCTACAAAGGCAGAACAATAAATCATCAGGCATAGGAGAAATAAGTGCAGCTCTCAGGAAGAAGGGGGGGCTAAAAATGAGCAAGCGCAGTGCCACCACAAAAAAGGCCCTGTTGGCGGTTGCCACTCACATCTCCAAAGGTAGCTTAACAGAGAGGCCAGTTCATATGGGAATAGGCCAACAAGTGAAGTCTTCAAGAATTCACTGTTTGCTACTAGGCAAGCCATTTACAATCTGAGCGGAGGGGGGAGGTAGACCATTAATGACCTACTTTGCAGGGTTGTTGTGAGGATAAAAGGTGGGTGGCATTGGGGGAGCAAACCGTGTCTGCCACCCAGAGCTGTTTGGAGGAAGGGGAGGGGGATAAAAATGTAATGAACGAATGACTCGTGCAAATAAGCCAAGCCGTGTCCTGAACACTGCATTGTCCTGAGAGTTTCTAGAGTCAGTTTGGGGTAGTGGTTAAGAGCGTGGGCTCCAATCTGGGAGAAGCGGGTTTGATTCCCCACTCCTCCACTTGCACCTGCTGGTGTGACCTTGAGTCCGTCGTAAGTTCTATCGGAGCTGTTCTCTCAAGGACAGTTCTCTCAGAGCTCTCTCAGCCCCACCGGCCTCACAGGGTGTCTGTTGTGGAGAGGGGAAGGGAAAGGAGCCGCTCGGAGACTCCTTTGGGTAGTTAAGGGCAGGGTATAAATCCAACCTCTTCTTTGGAAACTGTTTCTTTCTACTGAGGGCAATGAGAGGCAATAACAAGTACCCAGTAACACAACACGCATTTCTGTCTCAAAGGCTATTTCGGATTACTTTAGTACAGCCCGAGCAGATGTAAGGCCCCATTGTATCCAGAGGTGCATGATTTCCTAACTTCTCTCTTCTCTTTCCCCTAGTTAACAACACCTGCTTCCCTTTGGTCAACCCTTTTCGGCACAAGAGAGCAAATCTCACCTCTTCTCACCGGCAGCTGCTAAGTGAGTGATGCCCGTATTACATTTAGTCAATTTTCTTCTTCTTCACAGCTCCGTTAAGACGCCTCAAAGTGATCACCACCACTAAAAGAATCCAGGAACGTAGCCAGGACTGTGTTCATGATATCTACACCAAGATCTTGTATTGTATTGTACCACTGTATTGTATTAGTCCCATTCTCTATGGCCTTTGACCACAGACCTCCATAGGCTGCGGGCACACGGGCAGGAAAATGCGAGGGGGGAGGAAGTGTGGCTGTTTGCCCCGGGGCAAAATAACACGCGGTTGCGCCAGCAGACATACCGTGGAGGTCCCGTGGAGGTCCCATGGAGGTCCCGTGGTAGGGGGGAGGTGCCGAGCACACCACAATCCTGCGCCGCGGCAATGAAGCAGCGCGGCAAATGGGTGTTTTTTTCTCTGGACACCAAATTGTGCGCATGCCCTGTTGGGTGCTTGTGCACATCCCATGGACAGTTGGAAAAAAACACAAAACCTTTATACGAGGGGGCATGGGCGAGTGCCAGAACTACCACCGGAAACGCGATCAGACGCCTGCCCTTGCCCCGCGGTTACCAGAAACTAGTACCTCCGAGGTACTAGTTTTTAACCGCGCATCTTCGGTGGGAAGCCTCGGGTTCGGCATGGGAGCTCTACGCTTCCCAGATGTGGCAGTGAGATCACACCCGGAAAATCCGCCGATCTTCCGTCTCTCTAGCGTGCCTAATGCTCC